ACAAGGGAAAGTGTTGAAGTAAAGATTCGTTGGAACTTCTCCATCTTGCTCGCCTTGAAACTATACTCTGTTACGCGTAAGAGGATTTTAATGGAGAATTCAATGTTTCTCGGGGATTAATCAATTAATCCAACAACAGGGATTGTTCTTCGATTGCCTTTGAATAAAATTGCGTAACGATTCGTGGAGTTCCATTGTGGAAGTATCTTTCTCTTACTGTCAAGTTTGTTGGCGTCTCGTTACACAACTTTTATTCGCGCGAATATAAATACAAGCGCTGGAACTACCTAGCAGTGAAAGTGACTAGTTTTTAATTTTTTATAGGAATTATAATTTACATAATGAAACATAATTATATTATAATCTGTTTAATAATGTAAACATTTATACAATGATTACATGTATCATGTAATTGTCGAAATTCAATGCTACTTCCATTATGACATCTGTGCAAATTAATGAGAACGTTGAACAAATTCAGAAACTTTTTTCAAAATGGTGGTTTTTAAGGTCGCATCGATTTTACTATGATTGCAATCATTATTAGTAATTATTACCAGTTATTATACTATTTTTGTAATTAAATATTTCGCTTAGAATGTTGATGAGATTCCATATTCTGTTTTCATTAAAGTTGTTCTGCAATATACACAGAAATAGATATTCCATTATAATTATCTATCAACCATCATTGCAGATAACTATTAAATTTTTATTAGAAACATACCTTAAACTTATTTCACTATAGTCTACATCTTCTAACAAGTATAAATCTATTCATTAATTTATATTTGACATTAATAACATTGAATAATTACAAACAACTTCAATCGAAGTTGAAAAAAATCATTTGAAATGAAACGATTCACGTCTTCCATGTACGTATTACGCTATACGTTATTAGGCAACAAGTAGCCAGCATCAATATCCAAAAAGGACACGTGCGATCGAATGGCATACACACCGCGATGAATTAGCCCTAATTAATTCCTTCCGAGGGGATTGGTGAAACCCGAGCTGTAGCGGAATTTCATAATTCCACGGTGAATATTGAAACATTGACAGTGCCACGGGGCAGTTCCTAAAAAGGGACTGCGTGGCACCAAGGGAGAAAGTACGTCACGTCGGATTAGCTTAATCCCAGAGGAAGCTGATGGGAATACCGACAACGAAGAAAATCTAGGAAGGGAAGATAACGAATTGTCATTGCGTGTGCACTATGGCCCGTGTAGAATTAAGCCTTCCCCCTTGAATCCTGTCCGGATTACGTCCTAAGAATTAATGAACTCCTTGCGGGATTGCCTTTTCATGCGTCCTCGCGATTCCACTTGACTCGTCCTCCAGTTATTTCAAACACGTGGCGTAGTAATTAACCCCTTGCCCTATGGTTTCTTTCATTGCTTTCATTACTTTTATTATTTTGATAGAATTACCTCGTCGTGAGTAATTTTCTAGAAACAAAGAAGAATTCAATGTTCGTTCTATGCCCACGTTGATTTCACTACATAACAGCTGATAACAGAATAACAGTTCCTACAGCATAACATTTCAATTTATTAGTTTCCATTAATTATCCAAGAACCTAATTTAATGATTTTTGGTAAAGGACTTCTGACTATTATATAATACAGCTATTCTTTCGTAAAAATATTTGAGACCACAACAAATTAGGGTTTAATAAAGTTACATATAGAATTTCTATATAAACAATCAAGTGTATCGATGTTAAAAATAAAAAAAATTCAAGAAATTAAATTTGTAAGAGTAAGGAAACATTTAAGCTAAATTTTCAAAGTTTCCCAGCATGTCTGTAAATTTCTAAAGTAAAGTAATAATTTGTTCTATCGCAGATTAGGTTTCCCCTTTTCTGTTTCCTATATGCAACAGAAAAGTTCCAAGATTCTCTTTTATTTTTTACCATTAAAGTTCAAGTATTTTGATTTCTTTGCTGTCAAACAGAAAATGATCCAATTCACCCCTGTCCACCATACTTGTACCATTAAATTCAGAGGAAACTTTCACGAAATTAATTTTCTTAGAATTTCTATACTTCAAGGTACGCGTTGAAGCCATGTTGATGTTTATTAGCCACGATTAATTCATGGCAACCTTTCGCGTAGGCTGCTCTGCATCCAGCCGTCACGGAACGGGCTGGAAAGTGGAGTTTAAGATATACTTCAAGGTTTCCACGCGGCGCGCTTAATATTCCCAGCATAAGAACTCTGGTTACGTGACGCGCTTCTGAAAATGGTCCTGTAAAACGTGCTCATCAAAGAAACGCATGTATTGTTTCGATTAATTTACTTTTTCCAATTGCGTCGACCTTTCAGAGTTTGTGAAAGGATCAATATTTTGTTGCAGTAAACCGTGAGAAGTAAAACTACACTGTCTTTAAACTGAAAGACAAACTTTATCTCTTGATCGTGGATCTTATGTTTCATGCATGTATTAGAGGAAAAGGAGAAATAAATAATGAACGAATTAAAGTAGGATGAATATTGTGATGTAGGAAGATTGACACAGTAAAATAATATTTTAATAAAACAATAGAATATTTTTGTATTCTAATTAGATGTGCAGAGAAACAAATGTTGACGAAGTTCCATTTATTGGTCGCGTGATCGAAGTAAATAAAACTAGTGGAACTATATTTATTAAATAGTAATACGTTGATATATTGTTAAACTGAGGGAATAAATAGAAACGTTGTTCCTTTCTTTACTTATCTGTTCAATAAGAATTATTCTTATGTAAATTATCCAATAATATATAAGCTTTAATTTAAAACATAACAACTGATAATTGAAGATCAATAGTTAATATCACTTAGAAGAATTAAATAATTATTTCTTTTAACTTCCATATGAGATTTTCCATATGAGATATTGTAAATCAGAAGAGTTAATATATTTTTCGCTTACGAGGTAGAAAATAAATAAATTCCTCTTTTCCTTTCTCCACTTATTTTTCCAATAACAATTGTTTATTTATAATTAAAGAACGTTCAAATGAAATATCACGATGAAAGTAACGATAGCAATAATACGTTAATATATTTTTCAACTCGGAGGTAGGTAGTAATCAAAATTTTATTATCCTTCCTTCATTTATTTTTCCAATAATAATTGTTTGTTTACAAGTTACGTAACAACATACCGACCACTCTACAAGAATGCCCGATTGAAATATCTCGATAAAAGCCTTATTTGAGAAAGTTTCTTTCGGAACTTCCATTGGCCGATTGAAAATTGTTTACCGCATTCATCGATTTCCCCGACGTATACGATAGGCGAAGGTCGACGAAATGTTGCGAGATGAGCGATACAAACATTCGTGGGGGTCCCTTTCCTTCATCCGCCCGCAATTCCTTGCGCGCGGAGTTTTACGACGTCGGAACTTCCGCGACCGTGAATTTTATTTGACCGTTTTATTGCTCCCTTTTTGTTTCGCTGCCGATGAATACAAATAAGCTGACTCCGCGGCGAAGATCCGTAATCGTAAATTCAATAACAGATCACGGTGTTTCCGATCCGTTTTGTGGATTTATGGGGATTTTTTACTGATCCTAAGACTAGTGATAATTTGTGGGTGGAGATACTAACCTTTCAGTATGGATACGAATTTGACACTAACACTATTGAGAAATTAGATTGATTTATTTCCATTTTTTAAATTAAATTTAGAACAATACGTTTCTTGAGATTCGAAGGGTCTGCTAGTCCTTTTTTTATATTTGAGTTTTTTTTAAAGTGGTCACATTAACATTTGGATACATTACTTAATAATGCTTGATACATAATGACTTATTGTATAATAATATACTAGTTGTATGAATTATAATACAAGATTATCTCGTCTTGTATCTGTAGAAACGTTTTAATTGAAAACCTTTTAATGCAGAAAGTGGATTTGAAAAACGAATTACTAAATGAACACTGTATTAAAAGAAAAAGGGTTGTATATTCTATTTGAAAAGTAATAAATTATAATAAAAATTAATGAATTACGAAATCCAATATATTAATGAATTAATTACAAAAAATGAATAAATGGTTCAGTGCACTTAATTGTTTAGAATGTCATGTTAAATTACTGTAATCAGAATTTCTTTTATAATTTAAATAATGTGTTATTAGAAGACATTTCGTATAACCGAACAGACAGTGAAATATTTGGATATTAATGATTCGGACGAGTGTTCTATTATATAGTATGTTCGTTAAAAGGATTCTTTTCTTTCGCAAGCATCAATCTATCTCTTTTAGAAAGCTGATAATGGTCTATCAGTTTGCCAGTGATTAATCGATCTTTAAATGATACGTTTCTTCAACTGGAAAATTGATTCTTCGAGTGATATTTCCTGGCAACCCCATGAATGGCTCTTTCAAATGTTTCCGGTCTTCTTTTTCCATTGGTTCGTGAAAATAAATGTCCTGTCGTCGTTCAGAAATGAATAAACGTGTTGCTCGTATAAAAGATAACTTATCCTAAATTTATATTTTCCATTCCTTTAAGGAATTCTGTAAACGCTTAATTTTTCTTAACGCTAGAACTACTGAACAATAAGATAAACAAATACTTATTTATATTTTATTATAAAAATTAGAAGAGATTTCTTGAGATTCGAAACAGGCAATATAAGTAAATATAAAATAAGTAGCAAATAAAAACACTTGTAAAATAATAACTTAAAAATTGCTCATTTTAATCTTTCTAGTAGTTCCAGTGATAAACTTTTATTTCTATAACGATAAGAACTTTTTATTACTGTAAGACAGTGTTTCCTAAGTTACACGTTGACATGGTCGCCACGTGGCTGTCGTAAAAGTTTAATGTCGCCACTTGCATTTTTTATACTTCCCACGTGTTTGTTAAATATTATATTGTCTCTTTCATGTGATAAATAACAAATATTTTTCTACAATTTCGATTCAATGATTTTACAGCTGTATTAAAATTCTGTTCACACTGATCATGGTGTATTTTTCTTTTTGTTGCAGAGGAAGACGCACTCCAGGATGCAGATTCTGACTATACAGACAATGAACTAGAAAATCTGTTACGAGCAGCTCAACAAAAGTGAGTATTTATTACTCTGTAATGTTTATTGTTCAATCTCCTTCCATTCTTCTAAGAAAACTCTTCCTTATTCCCTGTAAAATTCTTAATTTTAATATTTTGTCCCATGTTGCGTAGAGATGCATGCCATAATGTATGAATTGAATATATAAAGAATATATAATATAACAATAGCTGTAGAATACATCTCCATTTTTTTACATTATTGTGATTGATTAATTCCGCTGGGAGAGATATCTCGCGTATTTGTTTCTCAATGTTTACAATGAATTCCAATTGCGGCTCGCTGACTTGTTCACGCGAAACGATAGTTCAAATATTGTATTATAATTGTGGAGCAATGTTAATGTTCCTGTCCAAACTTGACTCGAATTAAAAATATAATATGTCGCAGTCATTTTATTTTTCCGTATACAAAAGAGGAAAATAAAGAAAGTAATTGTTACTTCTATTATTTATACTGTAAGGAAATATCAAGTACATTATTAAAACGGTTTATCTTAAATAAATAAAGATATTAAATTTGTGTATAATTTGTAGTTTATTAAAATAATTTATTCAGTAAATAAAATGCAACAGAATATCATAAGCTTACACTTTATGAGATTTCGACTGAAACATTAACAATACTACAAATACAACATACTATTAACTCTTTGCAATAAACAATCTAATTACTCAACTAAGGAGAGACTATCAGGTAGTTCTTTCCTTTCAGTATTTAAGACTTTGCGGCATAATTCAATTTTTTATGAAAAGAAATATTAGAAATTTAAGACAGTCTCGTCTGCAAAGAGTTGACTCCTTGCCTTATGGTTTCTTCCATAAGTACGCTCGTTAGGACTGCCTCATCGTTAATAAAATTCACTAGGAAAATACAGGAATTTTATTCTCCTTCAATATCTACATTTACTTTAAAGCATAACAATTGACAGATAAAAAATATTTAATTTTGACTCAAAAGAACTAAACGTCCTTCGTATTTATTAAATTTTATTTGAAATATATCACGAGTCCCACACGATATTACAAGGCAAGGGGTTAACAAAACACTGTCGACCATTAAGAGTTAATTTATGTGCGGCCCATAATAACTCATCTTCCAATGAGGCTCAGGGTAATTAAAACGTTGGACACTTCTAGTCCATAGAGCTGCGGTTTCCAACATTTTTAATATGTTCGTAATATCTACAAATAAATAAACTTCATATCGTAACGTAACAGTAGAAATCCAGTGATATATTTATTTTGTAATAAAGTTATTATTTAAAACGTGCTTATATTATTACATCTATTAAACAGTTAACTGTGTTTGACGAGTATACACGTCATCGTGAAGCTTGACACGACACTAATTCTTTCAGCGATGAATTCCTTATTTTTCCACATAAACATATACTCTACGTGCGTTCGTCCTGCGTTCGACGAGTGCTCCATTATTCGATTTTATTTTCCAGCTAAATTCCACAGTTAACTGATTAAAAGATAGGGAGGCACGGAAAAAATGTTGTTTAGGAAGGCGTAGTAGCATAAGGGTTGGAAACTGCTATCATAGCGTCATGAGATATCTCGCCCACAGATGCCAAAGGGTTAAGCAGACACCCACCATCTTTCCCATCCTCGTCTCGATGTCTCGATGTCTCGACAAGGCATTGTTCAGATACCCCTAATCTCGAGTAGACGTACCTCGTTGATTTACCTGTTTAGGCGGGCCTGCATAAAACGGGGCGGAAACTGTGACCACCGGCCGAAAGACTGTTGCCACAGTTCCAGCTGCAGATGCAACCTGTGGGGTTCGAATTGCCAGTGCCAACGAGTGGGCGTCTTCCAGAAATGGGGCTAAAACGTCACTTCCAACCCGACCCTTCAATCCGATGCACATCTCGCAACGACTCCACTTGTTTTCAACTACCTCAATGATTTGTTCATTCTGTATGATCGTGTCGTTCCGCCGTTGATCGGTTTCACCCCTTGTGCTTGCCGTTTTCCCCCTTTCACCCCCTCGTCGCCGGGAACTTGGCGAAGAAACGGGCGAATTCACGAGGAGAAATATTAACACTAAAACTACCGACCAGTTGAATTGATAGAATGGAAATAGAAACTTCAAGAGTACATCTATCGAGGCTTTAATTGATTTATAATTTAACTGGCGCGTTGCTAAATCAATTTCTTTAATCAGCTCTCAGGGAAACATCTGTTGTCTTCTTAGTAATTGCAAAATGGAGAGATCAGGAATGGATCATTTTGGCCCGTCTGGTAGTTTCAGTGTTAGTTTCTGTTTATTTCTCATGACAAGTGTTCCTGTTTCGTGTATGTATATGAAATAATTACATTTTTGGTAATTGTTATAATAACTTAAAGTAAATTGAAGCTTGACGCGTTGAATAACACGGAGGTCCTCTGCGGTCTCGAGTTGAATCGAATTACTGTAATTCCTTCGAATAAACGATGATTATTAGAGAACGTTTCTGTATTGTAAATAATGCAATGAAGTGACGTTCAGCAAGATAAACGTGTAATAATAATCACACAATTCAATTGAATAACTTGGTGTTACATCTTTCTCGCTTTGTGTGTTGTGCTCCTTGAAATCGTGCATTCAACGCGTTAAACTTTGATAGTTCAATACCGCAATATACGTGGCATATCATTTTTATTTATTGGATCGAAAACTGAGTATACCATGGCGAAGAGTTATTTCATTACAATTATTGTTCTTACTTTTATTATCTTCTCGTTTAACGCGTTACGTTTCGATCACTTACAGTTCATTTATTTTCGTGTGTGATCTGTGTAATCTGCGCAATGCGGCGTGCAAACTTAAAATATTTCTGGACCGTTAAGGGTTAATTTCTTTAAATTTAAGACTATCGTTAAGTTCTCCTGTAAACAACAAACTTTTGGCGCTGAGAGTTGAATAGCAACAATTCCATGATGAATATTAACGCTTCATTCAAAGTTCGCGAATAACACTGTTTACTGAGAAAATTTGACAAATAAGGGGTTCGAAAAAGTAATTTATCTGATACAACAATGAAAGAATAATACAAATAATTTATCTGAGAAGTTCAAAAGTTACAAGGTTGAAAGGAAACGAATGGTTGCGCAATTATTATGCTCGTGACTTATGCACAAGGGGTTGAAGCATTCGTTACCCGCTTAACCGATGCCGTTCGATTTATAATTTCATGTTAGTCGATCATTGTGTCAATTTACCTTTTCGGAGGCAGTTGCGATGAATTTCAGTACAGATCTGAAAGCAAACTAATTTCACTATTTTCCGTGTAACCTTTAAAATGACTAATTAAGTTAGATACATACAGTAGTGAATGTATCGTGTCGTCGAGATCGACTCTGTTTCATCGCTTGAATACAACCTGTCGGATCATTTCAAAAGTTCCGCGCATTTCTACGTGAACTTTACAGCGAAAACTGGTATACGAAGAAATCTGTTTCCACGGAATAAAAGCTTCATAACATATCGCAATTGAATAAACGGAGTGCACGAAAGACAGATGCGTAAGATGCACATTTGCATCCTAACAGAGACACAAAGACTTTTGAAATGTTCTGACAATTTCCGAGTATTGTGATTTGTGAGATTAACATTCTGTATGTTGCGTGAAGAAAATTAAATTACTTTCGCGTGTGTTTGTGTCTGAAATCGTAAAGCATGGCGCAGGATGTTGCGAATCGACGCGATTCGTTTCCTGAGATTTACTGTTTCTTTATCAGAGCGATGTGCTGCGATGAATAAACTATTGTAACTATGAAGATTGCTATTAAAGCAAACGTTGGTCGCAAACGTGTTAATTCCGTTTTGGTATTTATCTCTCGTTTCTCGATTGAAAGAGTCGGCTCATCGAGGCGTTCCTCGAGGGACGAATATTTCACACGAATTATTCCGGGGTCAGCTCGACGACGTTTCCTCGCCCTTTGTCATCCGTTTTGCGTCTGTTTTTCTACTTACAGCGTACACATCTCGTATCTACCTCCCTCGCGTGCAATAGTCGTGTAACAAATTTCACCGCCGCTCCGTTCTCCATTTTTATATTTTCCTTTCGTTCCGCTCGCAGACATTATACAGAACAAACGGCGTGCAGCTTTGTTATTCCAGCTCCTTCGAGGTTTCGCCTTTTGCGTTTACCTTTTTCCAAGCGAACATTCCTCACGACGCTAATATCTCCTTTGTGATTTATTTTTCACGCGAATAACGACGATCGTTCCTTGTTTCTTCGTCTGGAAACCTTATTTTGTAACACGTCGACTGCTGCGGGAATATCAACCCTTTCATATCGTTTATCCTTTCGTGGCAGAGACAAACAGGAAAAATGATGAATGATTTCAATTATAAAAATGATAAAATATTTTTGTTCGATGTCAATGGACTGCGGATCTTTATGCGTTTATCGGGAATTACGTTGCGCAGAATGATTATTATGTGAGAAAATACTTGTTTCTGATTCCCTTAAGTTCCTACTCTTAAGATACTGGCGAAACGATCATTCATTAAGGCGTCTCGTAATTAATTTCATTATATACCTGCCCCTCCATTTACGCGGTGAATTGTGACACTTTACTTGATATTGTTTACACGCGACATGAACTTAGCAACACTGAATAAAATTTATTTTCGTTTCCTGAAATGTCATTATTATTTTGTTTCTCTTAACCCCTCGAGGAACTAATTTGCATCAATTTTCCTATAGATTTTATTGTTCGCTGCACGCTTAATGCAGCTCAGTGAAAATAACAAGGGATTTCGGAAGAAACTTTATTTCTACAAAATATATATCATACAACTACTTTATCGTTAATAATTGATTAGGGAAAGAAACAATTTTGGTACTTATTCTATGTCTACGTTTACTTCAAATTTAACGATTGATGATAGAAAAGTATCGATTAATTTATATTTAAAAAGAATGAATAATACTTAGGTTTCTTAAATTCAGCTTGAATGTTTCGTCACGAGTCTGACACGACATTGTAGGTCAAGGGGTCAAGCTATGTGAAATAAATATGTATCTTTGAAGTTCACAGAAAGTTTTGTTTTCAATATTTTTTTTTTCGTATCGATAGGCTCTTTATAAAAAGAATCCACGTTGAACGGATACTCTGCGTGAATGGAGGGACTTGTGTGTATACCTGTAGGGAACGGAATTGTACAAAATCGTGAAAGACGCGGAAGATTCCGATGAAAATTCCTGTCCCGATTCCCTTCTCGCGACGCGCGATCTTCGATCGAGCGAAATATCGGACGAATTCGTTGACATGAATGGACGACCTTCGAAATTGTTCGGCGCGTCGTGTTCTGATTGGAGTTTCTTCTAGCCACTTTTGCCCAATCAGACGACGATGCTCCGTATTTATCTGTCGCCGTCGGAGACGATCGCGCGTCTATCCGTAGAGTAACCGACATCTTGTCGGATTGATATTTTCTCGACGGAATTTTTCTGTAGGGGTAACTTGGGCGTTACTCTTATTGGAGTTTGAGATAAGTACCCACGTCTATGCATACTAATTATAAATTGAAAATACAATAATGGATGTTATCGTATCGTATCGGAAGGTGGATGTACATGTACCGATATATTATGGAAATATAATATATATTATATATGTACTAGCAGCTGATCCTATGGCCTGTATTCCCATCCCAGTTTACAATGGATTTCTTTTTGAACCTTTGTAATATGATTTACTTCTCAATTGTGATTAATGCAACTACTTTGTCGTTAATGATTTATTGAGAAAACAGAGAAATGGAATCTGGATATATTCGATATCCATGTTTACTATAAAGTATGTTAATCGATAACAGAAGTATAATGTTTAATTTCTATTGAAAAGAATTGATTAATATTTATGTTAAGTTCTGTTTAATATCTTCATCACGTGTCTAACACGTTATTATAAAACAAGAGGTTAAGAATTGAATTTTCTTTAATTTTGCCTTTCACTGGTTGTTAAATAATGTTTAATCTTACAATTTGTATAAAATAGTACTTTTCTATACAGTGTTCAATATAATTATACATAAATGTTCAATTGTGATTGTATTTAGATTACGTAATTAAAATATAAAATGTTACTTATATCATTTCTGTGTCATTATTCAATTTCAACCAACCAAACATAACAATCCTCAGAAAATTCACACAAAGCTCCACTAAAACAATCTTTTAAATACAGTTTCAAACATTGGATCATCCCATGAATATTCAGGTTTCTTTATGTTTTATAATTGTTAAGAATTAAAATGACTTTTTTAAAATTTAAAATACGTTTTCTTTCATTAGCTACAGATAATCTATAGAATATTTATATTTTCCTTCATTGTCTACAAATACTACAGAATTTTCTATACATCTATTACCTTATCTACCACAAAATCTATAAATAATTTCAATTATGTTAACAATAATATAATAATCCATAAACAACGATGAAGAATATATTTTAAGTTAAAAGAAGTTTTATTTACTATATTCTTCACAAATAAAAGAAGTATTAAAAGAACCATATTACTCACAGAATAATCCCATACATAAACGCCATTCATATTAACATTACAACACGGATCCGGAGAAATCCGTCTAAGATCTAGATTAGAGCAACATCTAAGGCCCCAGAGCCAAAACTCGGCCGAGATACCAAAGAAGAAGACGTTGTTACGGATCGGACCGCGACCTCTCGGTCGCGACACGACTGGCACCGGTGTCGAGCGGGTCGAGTAACTGGATCGTGACGTGTTTCTATCACGAAGCTAGCCGCCGCGCAGGATATCGGCCCGCGAGGACCCGCGTCCTCGAAACGAGGATGCCTGGTGTCCCGATCGAGCGGACATATCTCGGGGATATCGGGCCAGATCCCTGATATCTCGGCCGACACCGCGGTAGGAGAAAGGTTAAACGAGTTAACCTCGAGGGACCGAGCCGACCCACGGTCCCCGCGTCGTAAAGAATCCTCGCCTCTTAAGGTGTAGATACACTAGCAAGAGACCTGCTACAGTTCTTTTTATAGCAAGTCCCGTGATGCGTGCAAACGCATCTGAGATTGCTAGTGGAGCAGGTTCAATTCACTTGTGATAGTAAAATCGATGTTGTAGAACGATCGAGACCGTGAACCTTCAAGGCTTGAGCTTAAAAACTAAATGAAGACTAAATGAGTATTGAAAGCTTCCAGTTTTTAGAGATTGAGTGTTGAAAACTTCGAGTTCTTAATGATTGAGTATTGAAAGCTTCGAGTTCTTAATGATTGAGTATTGAAAGCTTCGAGTTCTTAAAGATTCAGCCTTGAAAGCTACGAGTTCTTAATGATTGAGTATTGAAAGCTTCGAGTTCTTAAAGATTCAGTCTTGAATGCTTCGAGTTCATAAGGTTGAGTCTTGAAAGCTTCTACGTCGTAAAAGTCGAGTGTTGAAAGCTTCGAGTTCCTAAAGATTGAGTCTCAAAAGCTTAGAGCTCACAAAGGCTGAGTCCTAAAAGCTTAAAGCTCACAAAAGCTGAGTCTTGAAAGCATAGAGTTCTTAAAGGCTGAGTCTTAAAAGCTGAGTATTCGAAGCTTCAGAGCTCCATCTTGAAACTCTGAAAGCTCTACCTGATTGTGACCTTTCAGAGCCTTCAACGCTCGAGTCTTTATGCTCAGAGCTCATTTTTACAACGCTATATCGAATAAAATAGAAATGTAAAGGCTTTTACAAGTTGTTATCGGAAAAAATATCACAAATTCGATACTTGCTAGTGTATCTACACCTTTAGCAATGAAACGAGCGGAGCGATGGCCGCGACTGCTCGCCGGGATTGCTCGAGATCCCGCGGGTCTTGACGATCGCCAAAACTTCGTGTCCTGGGATTGCCCTTCTGCGGGATACCCGGGACCTTTTCCTGGAAATAAACTTCAGGGAGGAATCACGGGATTGGGGATCTCGGGACACTCTCCCGGAGACAAATGTTTCTACTTTCGAATTTATTTCTTTGAGTTGTTTGCGAATGTAGGGTGAAGGTTATGTTTGACGAATTGCGGTTTATTGGGGTGGGGGAAAAGTTGGCAGGAATAAATGGGGATTTCATTGAATTTGCTGGAAAGTTAGGGTTAGGCTAAAAACATGTTGGATTAAAGATTGCTGTTGGAAATGGTGGAGTGTTATTCGTGATAAAAATTGTTATTATTTATACAAATTAGTTATTAGTAATAATTACATTATATAATTCTCTTGGATATGAAAATTGCTGTTTTCTGAAGGAAGATGAAGAAATTTATTTTCACACCTCGCGAACTCATGGTTTCTTAATTTTTAATATGCTTTTGATAAGAAAGTAACGTGAATGTGACGCTGTTACAAGGAAACTTAAGTACATTGCTGTTATTTTCATCTGGTTATTTTATTTTCATTTTTAGTTTCCTGTTAATAAATTACTCCAATTTGTTTATTGACCCACATAGTAATTTTGCAAGGTTCTGGTCTTGTTATCATTGAACGGAACATTTAATTCGTCGCAGTCTTCGAGAATCCTGTAAGTATACATACTATTTTTATTCTTACGCTAAATCGACCACTGCAGCAACATTCCAGGTGTATTTGTAGCATAGCATCCGGTGCTAAACTTAATCGTCCGTGTAGATTTAACTTGGTGAGACTAAATCGATCGGCCAGGAATTTTCATTGAAACGTGCGTGCATTCCTTTCCGAGAGAGTTACCTTGGTCGAACTTGGCCTTCTTCCCTTAACAATTTTCATCAGTCTCTTACGTAGTATCATAACTTTCTCATGTATCCCCACAATGTAAACACTATAGAATACTTTAGTGTCGAACAAATTAGTTAGGACACAAGATCTCGTTAAATTACACCCAAAACTGTGCTTTAATGTCTTAGCTGTTTCAAAAATTTGTAATTTCATATTTATTGAATAATCTATACATGTAAAAGCGATAAAAGTATGTATGCAATCTCCATGATATGAAAGATCATTAATATTATTTCTTTTGAATCAAATTGACTCAAATATTTTATATAGATCGATAGAATAATATATAACCATTTTATTTGAATGAAAAATAAAGAATAGTTATACTAATATTTTTATCACTGTAATCCACCAAAAATTGCTGTAGTGATTCATCAGAAATGTAAATTTGATATATACAGGGTGGCTCATTTCAATCTATATACAAACATTCCCGGAACTATTTGTTATTTCAAAGATGTCTGAAATTCAATTTTTTAAGCCTTTTTTGTAGAGAATAATGAAAATAATAATTAAATAATCTGCTGCATCGATTATCTATGGAAAAACAATAGTAACTTTCACGTCTACTACACAAGTGTACCTAAGGACAAACTGAATGTACCTAATTACTACCCCCTTAAAACAGAAGAAAACTACATCTGATGAATATTTTAAATAACGAATCGTTATGGAAATAATTGCATTTCCTGGCTACAAAGAGACACTCTGTACATATGTACGATGAAGTTTCTCTCGCTAATTCGGGAGGTAGTCAAATGACAGCAACGAAGTTGACGAATTCTTTTGACGGTTCATGTCACACTTTTTCTCGGGCACGTTTCAACGTTTCATTGGACTTAGGTCAATTGGTTTTCCAGGTCGTGCGGCCCCTCTCAATTACGCCGCCTAGCGTAATCCATTTAAGGGAAATAAAGTGCTCGTCGAGGTGACGAAATCCCAACAAGCTCTTCGGTTGAGCTTTTCATCATCCATCCGAAGAGTTTCTTATTTATTCTCAAGTGTAATAAGACGCTGGTTATCCGCGTAATTGGAAGAGAAAGTAGTCAAAATAAATTATTTCTCCCATAATCGATTTGTAAGGACCAATCTTGCGAACACGTGTGAAACCAATCAGAAATTAAACACTTTAGATGGACTTTATCCTTTCTGTATTCGATAATATTTAACCCTTTGTACTCTAATGTCACGTGATTAAATACACACAATATTATAATATTTAATAGTTAATATTTAATGTTTAATATTTAATATTAAGCTTCCTATAATGCATCGATATGTGAGATATTGAAACAAAAAGAAGTGTGCTCCTTGATCTATGTATAATTTCATAGGAACTTTACTTGATAATATTGATAACCTTAAGAATAATGTTGATGATGCAGAATTAAACGTGTAATTGAGAACCGAAGAATCCTTTGATCCGCATTTGCCACTTACATCAAGTGAATCATTTAGATAGCCGTGCGTAGATTATTGAAGTAATGACATCATCGAGTGAATAGCCTATTCGCATCTCGCCGACACCCAAAAATAACGAATTAAAGCGGAGCCAACCTTGACGAAACTTCCTTCTGCGAAAAATCGTGTTTCATGTTTACGAAGAATGCAAATGCGTATACGCGTTTCAGTGATACAAGCCTTTTAATATTTCTGTCAAATATTAGCGTATTTATACGCTTTGTGTTTACTGTTTGCAACTGTGATTAAAGTTTCAACTTCAATATTTGTAACTAGAACACTAGATTTTTTAATGACATGTCATGGAAACAGCAATCAAACAAACACGTGTTCCTTCCTGTTACAGAGTCGCAGGTTTTTGAAAGAAGAAAATAAATGAAACATTTTAATTAAAGTACCCCTTTCTTCATTAAAATATTCCTTTCTCAATCATAAATTCTTCGATATTTGTATGAGATAATCACGTATCGTTGTATCGTTCAATTGTAGTTAAATTGCAGATAAATTGTAGGTAAATTTCCTAATAAATTACAGACAAATTCTAGACAAATTGCAGATAAGTGGCAGACACATTGTAGATAAATTGTACATGAATTGTAAATAAATTGCAGATAAATTGTACATAAATTACAGATAAGCTGCAGATAAATTGTAAATATATTATAGCTAAATTGATGGTAAATATTATAGTCCTCGTTTATAAGGTA